TCTTTCCCCGGCTTTTTGTCCTTTGTCCAATCCATCTCTAGCTCTACTACCTCTACTACCCAGCAAGCATTCCGACTGTTCCAGGAGCAGTCTAGATCATCTCCAGATTGTCCCTGTGTGCACCTCGATTCTACACAGAGAGAAGTGAACTCCACAACATCTGCCATTCACAGCTACACTGGATCGATCACCTCTTTCATTACTGTTGCCTACAGAGAACAAAAAGTGACCATGCAAGGGACTGGAAAAACATGCTGAAGATTCAGAGTTGCACCTCAATAAGGTAAAATGTGACAGAGTCAAAATCAGGTTAAATAACTTAAAATACAGTCAAAGGGAATTTACAAGTAGAGGTATTATCAATGCTACCTGACATTCTGAAGGCACTTCAACATCTGTATGCCAGGTGACTTAAGAAGGTGGAGGAACAGGAACAGCAAGATTATGTATTTGCCTCAGCCCAAACAAAGCCTGGTGGCAGGGCTGCAAAGAGAATTTAGTCTTTCTACTCTTTCAGCCTGCCTTCCATCGAATCAGCCACAAGGACTTACCTTCAGACAGGGGACTCCACAGTGGCACCAGGGGTAAGCGTCATAGGGTTTTCGCTCAGTATTTTGTGCAGCGTCCCTCATAGCTTTATGGAAGAGGGATCTTTCATTCAAAAGGAGGAGAAAAGCCAGGCTGGCTTTTCTGCAATTGCCTCGCCTCTCCAAACCACAGCTCGTTGTTATTTTTTCAAAATCAGCAATTTAAATCACCAAGTAACAATAGACTTCTATTGCAAAATTGTTTGTTATATCCCTAACCACAGCCTTTCCTAACATAAACATCTTAGCGCCTGTTGAAAGGCAGTAGCCATATGGGTTTGCTGTTACTTTAACAGGATTACAGTAATCTCATGTGTAGCAGAGAGAGATGTATTCTGATTAGAAGCTTTGAATATTTCTGTTACCTGTATCTGAAGATGATAAAGTTTTGCTGACAGGAGCACCATGGGAATGGATAGCTTGAATAGAGAAATCTTTTTCAATCACCTTTACTTTAACTGGAGTTTTCACAGGAGAATCTGAGGAGGAAATTTCTTGGTTATTTATTTAAACTATTTGGGACACTTATAATCAAAATAATAAGAATTTATTATATTACTGTTAAAGCATGTTCAACTTGTGCCTGAGAAAGTTGTTTAATACAAATTCTCAACACATGTTGTCTACAGTAACCAATACAAAAAGACCTTTAAAGTGGAGGACTTTATTGTGTTTAAATATTTTACTGTAATATACTAGAGAATATCCACTTAAGTAAATGATCTGGTTTGACAACTTAAAAGAATGCAGCTCTTTGTGTGACTTCACACAAAGACTGTTTAGAGGTTTCACTTTCATACTTATCCCCAAAAGAACCAAAGAGCCTACTCCTGAAAGGTACTCTGAAAAACTTGATCATAAGATGACACCAATTCTCATTAGAGATTATCGTCAAGGTTAGAAGACAGGACGGTCTGTCATCAGTAGCCATTCTAAGAGTCTGACACTTTTGTCATGTAGAAAGTCAGCCACCAAAACCTTGCTCTTCTGTTTATCATCCCAAAAGTGTTTACAAAATATTAAACAGAGCATTAGCCATTCCTCTGGTTTGAGCAAGGCTTCATGAAAGTTAAAAACCTGCTTCTGAAGAATACAAAAGACGCCTCCCACCACCAACACATCAGAGAAGCCTGGATGATAGTGCCCTCCCTTCCCACCTTTCCCCACCTTCTGTTACCCCACAGATAATCCTAACAGTGAACCCAGAAAAAATTGGACTTCCTCACCTGTGCTCAGTGGAGAAGATCTCCCTTCTAGTCGAGGTTTGGTTTTCACAGCAGTTACAGTAGTGACCACAGTCCCACAGGGCATCACAGTTCGATCCTTTTCTATCTTGGTGGCTGGCGCTGCAGAAGAAACTTGCCAATTCTTTAATTCATTGGGTTCTACAAAAGAGAACTAGGAAGACAAAAAAAAAAAAAATCTCACTTTAGGGGCACAGTTAAGCAAGAAAGACGCTTACACTCCTATCTAGTACTCTTTTAACAATTTTACCACCATTCAAGAGCCAAATAGCTAATTCTTCTGAAAAGCACACATACATCCTGAAACGATACCATACAATATGAATGTGCTATTCTGACACATTGCACTGTGCAGTGAATGACTACCCGAAGCACAAGATGAGCATTCACAAGTACTTCCAGAAGTCACAGGACCACCACAAAAGCATCCAAATTCAGTACCTCTGCACTAATGGATCCTAGCCCAGGCCCCAGCTCTGGGCTGCTGTCGCTGGCCCAGCCGTTCAGTGCAAAGCTTTGCTGGCCAGAAGGCTGTTTCCTGAACAAGTCGAGAGGTACAGTTGCCCTTGCCGACAAAGAACCTAGAATAAATAAAACCAATGTAATCAGCACTCACCTGGGCTATCAGTATGTTTAAGGCTGAGAATACAGGGAAGAACAAAAGCAGCTAGTTGCAAGAACTGGTTCCCAGCACAATAAGCAAGTTTTCAGAGTTTTCTTTCCTTTATATGACTATTCCTCGTGCACGGCCTAATACTATGCAACAGAACAGAATGGAGACATGAAGCATTATTGGTTTGCTGCTATTTCTGGCTATTTTTTTCCCCTCTATATACAGAATGCTTAAGGGAAAAGAAAAAATCTAGAAATATTTGGAATGTTACCATTAGGTTCTTGAATAATCTCCACAACAAATTACCTCTCCCTCTTTCATGTCAGAGAACACTCCCTGGATTCCTGGTAAATTGGTGTATCTCGTTAGAAATATTCTTTCTTAATTTAATCTTTAGTACAAGTACAGTCGTACACTTGTTTCTCTCATTACTTTATTAGCTACATTAGACTGGAGCAAACTATTAGGAAAATTACTGCATGATTTCAGGGATAAAATGCTAGCTCTAGAAAAGAAAACAATCTATTATTATCAACACACAACAAATTTCCAAGCCTGTAGTGAAAAGAGCCATTAAGAATTTCATTAAAGTTATGAATGATACAAGGAAGGAACTCGAGAGCTTCATGCTGTTATTTTTTCCTACGAAAGACAAAGAGAGATCATTATATTCAGATGATCTGGGTCTTTCCTTCTTAAAATGATTCTACTTTGAGTTTTCCATTCAAATTTTCTGAAAAAGCAGCCATGGTGGTACAGGGGGAGCAGGGTGACTGTCAGGGCAGCCAGGCAGGGTGTTTTTCTTCAAGAAACCAGGCAGAAAGTTACCTGCATTCTCAGTATGAAGCAGAATGTTACTGACATTGTTTGAAGGACCCATTACAAGAGATATTTGGGTTCAGGCCACACTACACTTTATTCAAGCAACAGTATGCATTTTGTGACTGTATATGCATGCTATATCCTTAAATTCACCTTTTTTTTTTTTTTGGAGGAAGAGGAGAAGGAAAACAATTCATGAAGTATGTTCCATATAGTTCTGTTGCAAGACTCAGTTTGGAGGTTTCCACTTTAAAAAAAAAAACTACTTTTTTTTTTTTTTTTTTTTTTTTTTTTTTTTTACAAACAGCATCAACTTCAGAGAATTTTTTACAGCACTCACCTACCATTGACTTATTGACTTCCCAATAATCTTCTGCAAATAACCACTGATTATCTGCAAGGAATTACACCATTTTTTGCATACCTAGCCTATTAAAAGAAAAACCAAAATCCAATACCACACACACATTCCACTTGGTTGTATTACTTATTAACTGTGGCTTAGATAACATATTATTACCTAAGTCAGATTTAATAAATTATTGGCCAGTCCTTCACGCAATATAACAGACACCACGGTAAAAGCAGATTTTTACTGCTGGGTGTGGTGAGTTTTGGCCAATGCTTTGTAGCTTTTTCCTGAACTAAGATGAATACAACTGCAAGTACTAAAACGAAATACTGAACATCAAAAAGTAACACTTCCTTTTTCTACAAATGAAACCTGATATAAGCAGAGGCAGGCAAATTGATCCAAGAGGTGAAATACATGGTTACTAATTCTAGCTAAGCAAAACTCTGTATCAGCAAAGGAACAGGCAGTATATTTGCAGAACTTAAAATGTGTCATCACTTTATTAAAGCCCAAGTAATGAAACACTTGGAGTTTACAAGTTTACAAATCTCTTGCAAAAAGCTCAGGACGCTCTCTGGTCCTACCTTCCCTTTAACGTCACTAGAAATGCCACGCTCCTCCAAATAAACAAAATTCAACAGTGCAATGGAATTTTTTTTTTGACGTTGAAGGCTAGTTGCAACTGCAACAATGGCATCAAGCAGTAAAAACATTTCATTCCTCATGTTTTACATTTAATCCAATATAACTGGTATTAATATGTTTTATACTGAGTAACGGCTAGGTGGCCTCTGGGGCTTGGAAAGGAAGGATTTAAGATTAACCATGATTTCCCGTTAGTCAGAGAAAGGCAAGGAAAGCTTAACTTGAAAACAAAGTTACTCACAGTGGAACTGTTAAAAGTTTAAAAGTCTGAAAAATTAGGATATTAGCAGATGGAAGAGTAAGGATATTGACAGGCTACAAAGAAACACAGACTCAAGTTTTCTTTGTAATTTTAACTCCACCCAGGACAAATAGAGACACTTAACAGTGTACTCGCTCTTATGTCCATGCCTGCAGATGGAAGCAACTGTGTACATAGATAACACTTAACCCATGCGAGGCAGATATCATCCCCAAGAACTCACACTGCAATTTCCCACATATTTTTTAACTTCAAGACCTAAATTTGAAGATAGGCTTACAGAGATTATAATTGTTCCTCCATCTAGCGTTCTCCAGAGCCATTTTTGAGGAATACCTGATTTGACTACCAAGGCAAGTCAGCAGAACATATCTACACTTGAAAATAGGTTTCAGAACATTTCTTATATGGCTATGCAGCCAGGCAGAACTAAAAGAGGACTTATGTCAATATTTAGCAGGGCTCATGAGGTGATTACACAAAATAATACAGTTTTAGTACTTACTATCCGACTTTCCATCTTCTACTATTTGCAGTTGCAATGCTTTTGATTTGGCACTTAATTCACTGTGAAGTAAATGAAACTATGTTAGGTCTTTGCATGCAAGTATTTTAGTTCTCTTCCCACCCACTAGATTTTCCCCTTCCTTTTCTGGTTGCCAGCACCACAACTTTTCTTATCCTGCACTAAGCTAAGCAGTAAAACTTGCTAACTGAAGCAGGCAGTACTACATGGCAGAATTGTCAGAGCGCTGGTAATGCTTTGCACGTAGTTTCTCCTGGCCTCAGCTAAGACTGAGGGAAGGGATCATGGTCAGAAAACAAGTTTGGGTACTTCCAGCATTGTTACAAAATGTCAATTGCCTAAGATTTCAGAGGACTATCCTCTCCCCAGTAGTTTACAAATATTGCTGTTCAAGCTGATGCTGGTCCCTAGTCTGATTGCTACACAAAAGCATCAAGAAGCTGTTTCTTTCTTGCAAGCTTGAAAGTGAACTTTTCCCAAATGTGTAAATCAAGATGCTGGAACAGGTCCAATCAACAACCTATTCAAGGCTCAGCAGTATCCTGGCAAAGAAGGAAAGTGTCCTGCAAAAGCAGGATGGATGCAAGTAAATACAGGTAGTTACAAGTCTTACAGGAGAAGAGTGAGCGTTACTTTTCCACAATAAGGCTCAAGAACATTTCAAGATGATAAGAACTAACTGCTATGTAACAGAACCAATCTGAACTATTAGCAGAACTATTGTACTTTATGAGATGTACTTACTTTATGAGATGGATTAGACAAGAGATACAAAACCTTCCTTCCACTCAAGCCAGTGAAGCAAACTCAGTACCTACTGAGGAGTCTTTTGGTAAAGCTTGATTTTATACCTTTTTCATTAAGTATTCTGCCAAAAACTTTGAGGATATGCATGTATGTATTTTACTTTTCTGTTTTCAAATCAGGATGGTGTGATGTTGCTGCAGACGTTCCACCTCCATCAGATGCTCCGGGACATCATCTGTGAGGTAGGTTTCAACTTTTCCCCTGCCACTACCATGACCTCCTGTACCTCCAAAACTTCTAAGGAAGCACCTCAAAGGTATCAGTTCCTCCTCTTTCTATAAAGCTCAAGCAGAGACTGACACAGTGGTCAGCACGCTGGTCTTCAGATTAGTGAGGTATTTTGTTTGAAGAAAAAAAGGAGAGGGGGAGAAATGAATATGAAAAGAAGGTATGCAGACAAATCCTGATCATTTATCTTTAAAAATCCCACAAGACTTCCCCAAGCTTACTTCAGGCACTTCTAAAAAATACCCAGCACCATAGAAAACCCAGCATTATCCCTAGTGTCAAGGTCAAATTCCAGTCAACTTAATCACATCCTGCTTGCTTGCCCTCTCTCTGCACTTTCAGTAGGAAAGGGTATTCTTATAAACTTCCCGCCCGAGAGCACTGGGTACATGTCTGTTCTACAACATTGAACAGACAAGCTCTTCCACCAACAGATGGCTGAAGTGATTCACAAACCCAGTGGGTGAAGCACTCTGAGATACTCCAGAGTAGAAAGTTGCTACAGAAGTGCATTGTTTCTCCTACTGTGGAAAACAAATCACGTTAATCCCCAAGTCTGGATGGCAACATAGCACACTGTCACAGAAGAACGCAGTCTGATCTGTGGCTTTCCATGAAAGCCTTAGCTCCTTGTAGCTAAAATCAGACTATATAAGAGAAGACATTGGGCTGCATGTGTCTTAAAGGGGAAAGCTTCCTGGCTGTTTTTCTAGTCGGCAGCAAGATGAGCAGCAGGAGCACACACAGGCCATATTTCTCCATCAAACCACATACAAAGATGAGACCTTTCAGTGTCGTCATACAACATCAATTTTTCTTTGTGGTCTACAGTGACTTCAAATCTCCTTCAGCCCTTGCATAGAGAACATTGGTCCCCTGTGAACGTAAGTCCTGTGCAACTCTTGATGACCAGTTCTGGTGCCTTCCTTTAAATCAAACAACCCCTGCTGCTTTTCTCCCCAGCACACCTGTTTCTGCAGTGCACGCACTCATAAAATTCACAAGCACAGTCCAGCAGACTGTGCAATGAGGAAGAAGAAAGATCTATGCACTGAACACTCACTGCCTCTCAAAGCTGTGGAGAAGCATGCGAAAGTTCACACTGTCCTCAAGGAAGAAAGGACTCAATACTGACAGGAGCAGCACTGAATGCACTTTCAGTTCTTACAAGCTAAGCTGCTGCTTTATGAGAGAAGGAATGGATACAGTGAATGCCAAGCTGTGATTAGACAGTGAAGAAAAATGTCATAAAAACCAAGCAGCACTTTTCTTTGATATGCATATATATAAAAACACATACGTATATATACATATATATATATATATAGATAGGAAAGCTACAGAAAAAAATGACCACAGAGGTTTGCTAGGCATCAGGTGCCTCTCACATGAATAACCTGGTAGAAAAAGCAGCATCTGCAGTACATCACATGGCAGCACCTCTTCCCTGTTTTCCCGGGAAGCTGCCTGTGCTCTCATGTGCGAGTGTCTAAAGCCACTAGAGAAACACACCTTTGATCCACCCCATCAGTGGCTTACTTCACTCCACTCAAACAATACAGAAGCTACCAGATATTTTCTGCTCTGCCGCTAAAAGGTGGAAATTAAAATAGTTTTAGAACTATTTGCTTTTGATTATATGTATAGAAGCTGTATATATCACAGAAAACTGTGTAAGCCACCTGAAATTCCCATTTTCATTCTACAGAAAAAAAAAAATAGTTAGTTTTACACTTTCCTTTTAATAATAGTTACCATTCTTTTAGATGGTCAATTTTTTCATATATTTATATTTCCCGGTGAGGAGAGGGGCAGGAGAGAAATCACATTTCCTGAAACGTAGTTTTCAAGAAAGAGTGAATTCAAAACCTTGCCAACACTTTTTTGGGACTTACTTAAAACACAGAGTAATTTATCATGCCTGTTACCATCATCATTTACTAGAGTCAGATATTTGCCAGGGAAGATCCGGGCCTATTTGATCTCTTATCCATGCAGAGAGTAATTAGGTATCCTGCAGTCCCTACCAATGCCAGATTTCTGAGGCTACTTGACACACTTGACTGGACATACTCAAAATATCTTTCTTCCTTCGAAACCTTGCATAGCTTAAGTTAAAAAAAAAAAAAAAGTTTTACTATAAAAGTGTTCTCAGCAGGTAAGTTACTTACAAGATAAACTCTTCCTTCCAAAAGGGATTTGCAGCATTTTTGACTACAGAGCTGGAAAACTTCTGCACAGGGTCATTCAACTGAAGTATACACGCAAGGTTTGTGCTGCCTATAAGGAAAAAGAAAAATCAATATCCAGGTATTAATGCTCCATCACCGGTAGGCACACTCACTCAAAAGAAAGTGAAGACCCTCTTTGTTATCTACTGCCCACTTGAACAAACTACTAGAATCACTTCCTCACCCACCCACAGAATAAATTTCTCCCTTCCATTTAGTTTGTACTCCATCTGCATTAATGGCTGTGGTCAAGACTGGGTCATCATTGTCCTATAAACTGCTCAGTATAGTGTGAAACATGATGACCCTATTTATATTCTGGCATGAAGCAAAAAGTTGTATGAAGGCCAAAAAAAAAAAAAAAACCAAAAGGGGTGGGGACACAGAATAAATAGGTATCCGCGGTAGGCTGCTGTAGTAAGTAAAGTTACTCTGAGGTTCGTAAAAAACAAAAGAAAACAAAACAAACCCCCCCCACCTCATCTTTTTTTTTTTTTTTCCTCCAAAGTTCTTACTAGGCAAAATCACAGTGATTTCTTTGGAAATCAAAGTAAAGGGGTTTTTGCAAGTTTTTTTTTTTTTTTCAGTAAGTGAACGATCATAATAGTGTTAATTAACAATGGCTTTAGAGACTGTAGCGTTTAACAAATCCATGGCATTTTAGAGTACTGGTGCAGAAATATCTACACCCTGATCTTGCAAATTGGTAGATTCACTAATTAGCATATTACAGTAGTTATACTGCTATTCCAAGGGGAAATAGGTTGCACAATGTGTTATTCATAAAATAGCTTCTTTTGTATGGTTTCTACAGCATCAAAAATCATGATTCAGTCTTGGGGTTCCAAAACATCAAGGAGAACAGCAAGAAGCTCAGCGCTGACTTTGTGCAAATCAAACAAAAGGTATGCTGCCTCCTGTTCTCCAGAAGAATCTAGGTTTATACTTAATATCATCAACTCCAAATTATCCTCTGGTGGTGTATCTGGGCTGTGGATGAGCCCTATCACTGGCACAGGGGCAGCTTGAGCCTGGCAAGGTTATTAGAGGAGACAAAGCACTATGTACATGCAGCTTATTTGGGATCTAACCCTGGAATAAGTAGTTTAGCCGCTTCCACAACGTGCTGAGCCTGAGTTAATGAACCTGGGGCAGTTTTCTGTGGAGCCAGCCATATGTCTCTGCAGAGTGCTTCTGCTGCCAGCAGTGCTAAGCAGCCTGATGCACAAACACTTGCTTAGCTGTGCCTGGAATCACACTGGAGCTACTGAATGACCGATAGCGAAACAGCGTATTTCAACATCTCTGCCCTGTGCTCTCTGGTCTACACAACTAAATATTTGTTCCTTTACAGCAGAACTCACATTTTTCCCCAGATGATGCACTGTGGACCATATGGTACTAATCAAGGACATATGTTGGTTTATATTCATAAAACAAGGAAGCAAACATAAGCACAGCCCATAAGCAAGCCCAGTGCCAGGCCACGGACTGCTCACCGGTTGAACTACCATGCCTATAGGTAAGCCACAAACTCTTACAAAGCAGGTTAGCAATCCATGCTTTAGCTTAATCATCCAGAGAAAAAAAACACCCTCCCTCCCCAACCCACCATGCATCTTGTGCAGGTTAGACTGCAATGCTGCAGACTCTTATTGTGTCTTAGAGAGCTGCAACACGATGGTTAATGATTGTTGCAAGACAAGGCCAAGAAAGGGGAAGGGAACAATAATTAAAAGGCAGCAGGCCAAATCCAGAAGCTAGCATTGCCCAGCTGTGCAATATTTCCATTACATTTAAAGTGACCAGTTAAACCCCAATACGAGGCTTGATTGCTCATGCTACGTTGGAATACGTTTACGCTGCAAGAGTTGCTAGGGAACCAGCAAAATTTCCTCCATCTCCATTTAGAAGAACAAATGGTTATTTGGATGTCAAAATCTGGGTTATCATAGTGGAGCATATTAATTGTCCCCTCTTCCCTTCATTTTCAGGAAGGGGGCAGAGATGCCTCCTATAAGAGGAATCCTTTATTGTATGAACCCCATGCTCATAAAGGTAACTCATTTTAAAGGTGCTTCAAATTAGGTTGCCCTCCCCCATCCCTTCCGAAAAAAAAGAAAAAAAGAAAAAAGGCAAGCAGAGGCAGCCAAAATGATCAGGCTCTTTCAAGAAGCTTAGCTTGCACTACAAAATTGTAGTGTAATAATGAATTTTTAATGAATTTTCTTGCAGCCTACAGTTTCCAGCACAATCTTATTTATATGTGACATTTCACTGCAAAGGCTTCCAGAATTAATACAAAAACAACTTTAAAAAAAAAAAAACGGTCTGCAGAAAGTTTTAGAGAAATCACTGCCAACCAGGATGAGCAAGGCAGCATTATGCAACAATCTGGGGCAGAAACTTATTGTACCTAACTGAAAAATGGAGTACTGCAAGTAGGATACATTCATCCATCACACTTAGCAGCCACAAACGGCCACTAAAAAAACAGTTATGGAGTTGTTAGTGACCATCAGTCAAAGGATCTCAAATCTGCATTTTCTCTAACAAAATCTGAAATATGCTTGTTTGTGCCTCAAGCAATGATGCAGGCATGCTTGCACTTGAAGAAGCTTTAATGCTTGTTAAATGAGCTCGGAGCTTCTTTCCTAAACCAACAGTGACCTCCTTTTTGGCTTCGTTCTCCGTTTGCAAGAGGTCCCCCCCAAATGTACTTTATTAGGAGGAAAAAACAGCAACAACAAAACACAACCTTTAAGGAGAGTTTACATAAAGGAGGAGAGTTATAGATACATCAACAAATTGCCTGAAGTAAAGAAAAACAGCTGTAAAAACAGGATGATCCTGAATCAAACAAATCCCACTGCAACCAGCTTAATGAGGAGTTGGTTTTGAGCCTGCTCCCCATCTTGGGTACACCCAAAGAAGTAACTTTTAAAAATTAAAAATAAACTCCAGAAAATAGTCGACCCATTTTATAAATTATGGTCAATTCAATGTGTTCAAAAATTATAGGTTTCTTTTTTACAAAAGGATCAAGATGTTTAAATAATCAAATAATATAAAACACACACAGTTTTGTACAAACTTGACTAAGTCCATATCTCAGAGTACAGCAGTTGCTTACTGCTTGTTTTGGGACAAGTTTGTAAACTAGAACTTCCAAATTATTTCAGCAGAAAAAGCTCTGCTTGAAAGCGAGCAGCATCATATGGACTACGTTACCTGCAGCACCGTGATCTGTTAGGTTTACCGTGATGTTCTTTACTAATAGTTTCAGTTCATGAGCCCTTGGAGGTTTAGGCGGACTAGTGCCCTGAGGGAGAACGCTTACGTTTTGTATGTTCTGTGAAAAGCAAGCAAAACAAGAGGGATCATGCACATGCAAATATCAAATATTTTAACTTCTGTCACATTAATATAGTGAAGTAGCCATCTAACGTGGTGTAACATCAACAAATAGCCACATGGGAGTTACAAAGCCTTCAGTGCCAAAGGCTATGTTATTTTAAAGTTATGCGTTCCATTTGTTTCTGATCACTGAAATGTGTTAAACTTACTCATTTGCAGGTCAGGAATAGATAATAAAAACACTGACCAGAAGGAGACTTATCAAAAGATTTAGGTAGGAATAAAACTTACCCGTACCTCCTTTATATCTGTAGGCTTTGTACTCAATACTACAGATGCAGAAACTGAACTAAAGAGGTTCTTCAAAACATCTCTGAGCATTTCAGATATTGCACATGTCCCTGCTGTCTGTCCCTAAGAGGAAACAAACAATCACGCTTCTAAAAATTTGGAAGAATCAAAGTTAAGGCAAAAAAATGAATCTAATATATCCAAACTACCAAAGCTATCCATAATTAATCTTTTCAGAGAGAGAAAAGGTCTCTGCTGCCAACAGCAAAACATACCAAGAAATTGTGCAAACCATTACTTAATCTTAGATAATAAGCATTAAAGGAAAACTGGAAATATACACTAAAGTCACAAGCTGTTCTGCGGGTTCATAAGACAGAGCCATTGCTAGTCACACACCCCCCAAAAAAGAGTTTCATTATCAGTTTATATCTTATGATGATGTTTTTAACTTTTTGCACTGTTTCGCACTCCGGCAACAGAACAGGTAAGGTCAGATGAGTAGACTGGCACAGTTCCACTGATTTAATGGGAGTTATGCCAGCTTGCAACAGCTGAGAACGAGCTAATCCTGTGCTGCACAGAAAAATTATTATAGCGCCTCTTGGGTGACTTCAACTTTGCTAAAAGGTGCGCTGTATGGATGGATAGTCACGCTGCTCCAAGAAACTGACTCATGTTTGCCTGCCCAAAAATCTCGTGATAACGTGCATTTAACAAAACCTTACACACTTCCTCTTTGATGCATCAGACTGCATCACAGATTTTGCTTACATATGTAGCTTCAAGCAATTACTTGTGAGGTATATGAAGACAACGAACCATCCCTCCCCTCCCCGTGACCTTGCAGAAGTCTGCTTTCAGTGTCACGCTACTGAGAAGTTCTGTTCTGCTTAGTATCTTCAACTGAGTGAGTTTTGAAATTAAGTTATCACAGAAAGTGCAGTTCGATACTCTGTTGCTCCAAAGGTAGTTCAGGAAGACTCTCAGTGAGGTTTGTTTTCTATTCCTTAAAAAAGCATGAAGTAGGAGACATAAATCTGACCTAAACAACATGGAACTCTTTTCTTACCTGGTATCACATTTGAGAGATTGTACTATTACAGAACAAGGCTTTAAAAGAAAGGGAACCATAGCACAGAACAGTTGGACAATTCAATAATTATACAAAGCAGAAAAACATGTGTCCTTCTGCATGCTGTAGTGTAATGAGAGCACACCTAAAACAAGTGTGCCGTGGCTGATTCAGAGACTAAGTAGCATGTATAAACGAGGCCCTTCTGCAGAAGGCCATGCACACTGATGATAAGGACACCGAATTTGCACCTTTGGGTAGATCAAGTGGGGAACTAAAGGCTTAATCCGGGTATTTTAGCACTCAGACTGTGCACTATTCGCTGTCGACACTTCCCACTAGCTTACCTGATCTACCCTAGCGCAGCTGCACAACATAACAAAGCCATGAGGAGGCAACAGCTCAAGTCCGAAACAACCATCACCGAGCAAAGCTGTACAGCCCTTTGCTCTGCTACCCTGGATGTCCTGCACTATGGTCCCCTGTTATAGAAACCTCGTGCCCTTTGGCATCCAGTTCCCAGCAAACAAGAGAAGAGAAGAGATCATTTCAGAAATCTCAATCTTATTCCAGGTGTAGGAAAACTATGTGGAATCATTTCTGTACTTGTAAAGGTACGTTTGCAGCTTGTACAACAGGTCAAACAAATTCGGAGCAACAGCCCTTTCCCAATTATTGAAGCATTATGGAAACCATTTAGGATGTCTCATCAAAATCCCAAGAATGTTGTGTGGAGAGCACTACCGGTTTCGCTACTTTCTTATGTAATCACCCTTTGATGACATGTAGCTACCGTTTAAAATCTACAACTGTATCAATTGATTCCACAGAAAGTAACTTTGTTTTGTTCATACTGTGCTCCCTAAAACAGCTACCAAAGAGGCAGCAGCACATTTCTGCAACTTGCTGATAATACTCCCCAACTTTTAAAAAATATTAATAAAGTTAGACCAAAGCCTCAGTTTCAATAATCATCTTTGTGATTTGAGATATGTAAATGAGCAGATATATCATCATTAGTTTTCATAATCTGGGAGGTTATTTCCCTCCCTCAGATCTTACTTAAATATTGCTTGATGAAGAAAGTTGTACAATTCCAGCCAGCTCTAATATGCCACCAAACTAGTCTGATATTTGTTACTTAACGATAACAACAGCAACGATAGTAATTGGACTTCTACTCATGGGAGTTTCCTGATGTTTCCATAGTTATCTGCAAAGCAATTTCATTAAAGAGCCTCCTTTCAGCCAATCTCATTTTTAGCCATGATAATTTGGAAAGAAATGCTTGATCACACCTCACTTCACTAGAAGATAAGTCATAGTGGCTTAATTGCCAAGCAAAAAGGTTTAAGACAACACAAGGTTTACCTTGAGCTTGACACGGACTAGCGGTCTGCAGTCAGCTACTGTGGCTAGCATGAGGCACAGCATCTCATTAAGTCACAGTAACATCATCATATGTAGGACCGAGCCCTGCAAGTCATCCAGGTTGCCAAATGTAGCTCAGGTTCATCCAGCTTTTATCAACAGAAAATAGACTCTTATTATTTCCACCTTGTCTCACTGATGACGGAACTAAGTGCTGATCATCATCTACGCAGTAAAGTTCTTTATTTGTGCACAAATTATTTCTTCCAAAAGAGGAAAAATCAAGACATAAAAGCTGTCATTAAAGTTTAGGAGCTGAAGCGATTTCCAAGGTATAGGTTGCTGTCAGGTTTCAGCTCTGTTTACTTCCCCTCCTCCCCAAAGGCTAATAGAAACTTCAAAGTGAAAATAAAGCCCTTAATAATTAAGAACTTAACAGGCTTGTTTTACCAAAAACAGGCGAAGCACAGTGGGTTGTAACTCCTTTGTAACTCTGGAGTCAGACATCTTTCTAAAAGCAGGTTTTGAAGTCCAGGAAAATATATTGACTGTTGCAGAGTCATTTGCACTTGTTGGTAAGTACTTAATGATTGTTCAATATGTGGATAATCAACATGCCAGTTCAATGCACAACGGTCATTTATGTTGCTACACATGTCAATGGAATCTACATTAAAAACACTTCAAAAGACTTGTCTGTCTTTAGTTATGAGTTTTACATTTTTGTGTATGAAAACTATAATAAATTATTATGATTCTAGGTCACTCAGTACAGATCTTCAGAACCCACTAGGGAATAAAGCTAATTTTTAACAAGATCTCCAGTCAGAAAAGCGACCTCATAAAATAAAAGCAAGAGAAACATGGCTCGTGCCCCCACCCCAGGAGAAAAACATAATTATGAAGTGTAAGGGGCAAAAGAAAGTCTTAAATCATGAAGGAACTTTTTTCAGATTCGTGAATAAAAAAGACCCAGTGACTCAGTGCTTATATACTAAGATAAGGTGCAATTCAGAAAGCCTCAAGGTCACCTACCTCTTCTGTAAAAATCTTTAGTTTTTCAGAGCTGTTTCTGAACTAGGGTTGCCAGATTCCAGAACTGATTCAAAGTAAGGAAGGGGCAACTTTGTAATTACTTGGATGGAAATATCATTAAAAATTTTTTAGAAGTGCTGTGAAAGAAGTTATTTGGGAACAGCTGTTTTTCATACCTTTAAATTTGAATGAAAAATATTTGCCAAGTCATTCATTTGTTTATGAAATGCTTCAGTAATCTTGAGAGATGCTCCTAGGTTTCAGACATCCAGGGTTTTGACTGACCAGCCTTGGCAAATTTCACGGAAACAGTTTAAGACACCACTGCCAATAGATAACTGCCCCACTCTTCCAGCAAACACAGCCAGCAGAAAGAACAAGCATTTTTGCTTCAGTTGTTCCAGCTTGGTATCTTAGCTCTAGACAGCCTCCTTGCTAATCTAAAGCAATACCCTGGGTTTTGCACCGAAGGAGCTGAGATAGGTTTTCTCAGCTCCCCCAGAGCAGAGGGACAGGGTGACAACTAGGAGCAGCAACAGCAAGATTTAGCAGTGCTTGTCTAAGGCCTCTCCAAACCTGGACTACGTTTTTGCATGAGAAGATTTCTTACAACAAATAAATAAAACTTGCTGACTGACCTCTTGCACTGACGGCTGGATTTCAAAATTGGTTTCAGAGGCATTAATGAGGAACCACTCAACTTTGACATCTTCTCCTTTGTCTTTCACGTAGAGCTGAAGCTGCGGATAGGAAAGAAGTTATGGGAGAGTGCTCCGGTATTCTGTAAAGAAACGGTAGGCCACCCTCCACCCTAAGGTTCGCCAAAGCAAGGACAATACCAGTTTCTGAGTGAACAAATGCCAAAGCGAGTCTAAGAAGGCAGAAGAAGTTACTGAAGCTTTGAGAGTGTGTATCAGCTAAAAAAGGGCATTTTTTGTTCTATGCATCTGGGTAGTCTACCCAAAGTGCTATTTATCCACGGTCTTCCTAGAGAAGAAGCTTACTTCACAAATTTATCACTTGCCCCAGATGAAACTGGAATATTATTAAATGCTTTACCTGAGTTAACATGAGCTTGTATGCATTTGGCAAACAGGTGGTGAAAACTTGAAACCACCTTTCAGATGTTGCAGCTTAGGCACGGGACTAGATGCAACAACAACAAAGAGAGAATTATAGATAACACTTTACCTGCAAGTGAAGCGGAGACAGTTTCACACTGTATGACTGACTTCCTGCAGTGGTGGGTGAAGTATGTGAGACATTGACAACAAATGTAATGTAATCTCCCACAACATTACAAGAAACAACCTAAAGAAAGGAAGAGGGGGGAGATAAAGAAAGGGAGAAAGCAATTTAGTCATTAGAAGAATGTATGGGGAGGGTAAGAAAGGAACTAAGAAGGACTTTAAGCTACCAGAATTAAGCTAAATTACGTAAATGGAAGATTTCCAGGCACTCTGATGAACATCCTTACCTCCTTCCATAAACTCAGTTCTGAAAATGGTATATCACATTTTCACTTCTGGACACAGAACTTGTAATGCCCAGCAATTTTAGTATTTTCCAGAACTCCTTTCGTATCGTTATCTAATACGTAACGCACAAACATGCACACACACACACATATATATATAAAATCAAAAGCTTTGAACTTCAAAAGAAGTTCATTCCTCTTTCTCTCCTGCTCCAGACTAAGCATCTTATCACAGGATAGCTGGTTTACTTGACATTAATTTCTGAGCCAAAAAAATAAACTAAATAAGATTGCTTTTAGTGGTATCCCACAAATAGGAAACTTTGCCAGAACACTGCTGCTGCAAAGAAGAGGATTTTGGTTGAGTAATCCAATTCCCAACAGGGTGGGGAGGGAGAGGAGCCTTTTAAAGGCTATTCAAGTCTCTGATTAAACCAGGAAAGGCACTGAAATTTGGTAATGAAGCTAAATTCAAGACAAGCTTGTATGCCACTTAACTGCAATATACTTCATTAAGTACACTCCCTCACTTCTCAAAGCAGTAATTTAACTTATTATCAAGCTAAGCTTACAAATACAGAATCGTTTTTACTCCTGCTCCTCTGCAAACCAACTTAGGTTCCAGAACTGCTGTTCAAAATTCAAAAAATGTACATAAAGCATCTTGCAGCACAGGAAAGTCCCATATAGAGAAGAGAGAATCATTCATTAAGGCCACAGAGAGAAGTTCACTTCGCAAACAGCTCTGCTGGTTGCAGACAGCTGCTTGCCACTGTTGTTCCTCTGTGGCTACTGTCCCCACAGCTTCAACATCGGAAAGGATAGCGTGAGTGTTCCTTAAATTGATTCAAGCAAAGTTAACCAGATTAACGCAATGCATAGACAAATAATTCACTGCAAGATTTGTTTGACAGAAACTCTGCATATATGCTATTAAATTATGTTTGTGTGCTTTACTGCTTCACTTATGGGCATTGAAATTGAAGTTGAAGGCTTTAAAATGAATCATGTACCTTCTGGAAGATCTTTATCAGTCTTTCCTTACATATATTTCATCTCCCAAGGCTCTATAGAACATATTATAAGAATCACCAGAGCATTATCAAGAGCTTCAGAGCGCATCCATTAAGGTAGGGACTTAATTACAAAGGAGCAGGAAAGAGAGGTGGGGGCAGGAACCAAATAAAAATCCCAACCACATCCACAAGCAGCAAGATTTGCCTTTTCAGGTTTATGTCTTTGGCTGAGGATAGTCTGGAAGTGGAAAAACCCATTTCCCTCATTACTTCCCTTCTCCCAAATCTAATTCCTTCAGAACTAATTTATTTTCCTTACTCCCACACAATCAACATGAACAGCCAGTATGATGAAGTAACAGAAACCTAGAAAATCCTACGTCCCTCCCTCCCCACTTTAAATAAAATAGCTGTGGTCTTTAGGCACAGAGGTCTGCTGATTTTGAATTCAGTCAGAAAAAGGAATCGGTTCCACGTTTGCTGGTAGAAAATAATACATCTTTATATCAGGTGACCCCCTTCATTCTGGGAGCAGCAAGATGATTCACAGAATAGGAATATGAGAAAAATAGAATTCTGGGCTAAAATTATAAGAGAAAGAGGCTCTGTTTTCATCTAGGACAGTGTTACAAGTGGTGGGAAGCTGATTAAAAAGAGACCACAACTGCCGCTTCCCTTTCTAAGTGACATTCCTTTAGAAGTGTATTTTGATAGACCAGAGGAGAAATAAACAGGCCATTTGCACCAGAACAGTAACATGAAGGAAAAAACCTGAAGCTTCCTGTGCTATGCTCCCCTTCCTCCCTGCCCTCATCCAACCTGCTTCCTCATATTCTTCTTCTCTGAACAGATGAAGAGCAATTACCAACTCAATGCACCTCGACTCACTCCTGTGAGAGAAAAAATGCATTTGTCAGCAAGAGAGGGGAGGGTCTGGCAGACAAGCACCCCCTTTCTGGTAGAAAGGGGAGGGGAAGAGGAAGTATAGATGTTCATAAGAAACATCTGAACTAAGAGTTGCTCTTCAGCCTCATTTATCTTCCTCATCTCTCTCTCCCACCTCTCCATCCCAAGGACATCCTTAGTCATCGACGCTTCATGTTTTAACAGAGTCTAAGAAACCTGTCATTTCCATCACAAACTGCTTGTGCAAAATTAAACCCTTGCACCACTGCACAGCAGCTCCGGCTGACTAATTCTGGACTCCCAGCGGGGTTATGCCTCAGTCCTTCTTTATATCTTACATCTGGACAAGCGAGACTTCCCGAGGTAGAGGGGAGAGGGTGTGGTGAAGCAGCAACACAAAAGAAACCAGGACTCTTCCACCACTAAGACCAAGAAGTTTACTGCCTTCAGCTTCCCTTAGCTCCAGCATCCCCACATTGCCTCCTGCTGCATGAATGGCCCCCCACCAGCACCTTTGTGCGCCCCCAGGTTGCTCCACACCGCCTTGATTCACAAGCACGTCCTCGGGTGGCTTCATTGGCAAGGCTGCCACCTCTTCCTCCTCCTCCTCCTCCTCTTCAGCTGTCAACCCTCCCCATGATCAACACACTCTGGGCACTTTATCACACCCACACCAGGGCTATTCTTGCTATTTGACTTGCTCAGCACTCTCCAACCTCCCCCCTCACTTGCCTCTGCTTTTCGGCCACTATCCCTGACTGCAATAGCCCCAGACTTAGGCAGAACGCCTTGGATTTGGCTCTGTTTTGTATTTGTTTGACGCTGGTACCCAGATCTACTGAGGTGCATAACACTTCTACACATCTTGCCTATATGTATCTAAAATCATTAGTATAACTATCCTGAAAAAATAGGTTACAGATAAATAACTATGGGAATTAACAAGACTGAAAAAGCATTACAGTTGGAATAAGGTAAAAATATGATACTTTACTAAGATATCTAGATTTAGATACCAGTCTAAATCTGGGTACTCGCAACTATTTAAGTCTTTTTTTTTTCTTCCCCTTGCATACCTCCACTTCTCTTTCCTTCTCTGTTCCTTGGAACAGGGCTGTAAAATTTCTATTTTTTTTCCTTCCTGAAGAAGCAGCAAAAGTTACTTCAGTTCACAAAGAGAATCAAGATGCCTCTGCTTGTCACACTTGGTGCCTTTTTGCCTTGACAAGTTTCAATTTAGGTACTGGCACCATGTAAATTCATGCTTTACACACAGCCTTTTTGTTATTTTGAATAGTCTTTCTCCCTCACCTCCCCATGTAAGCAAATAGATTCACTCCAGCAGTAAAGTGAATGGTAAATGGCCATGATGTAAGCAGGAAACGTTTATAGTCCTATACAGAAAGTTCTTCTTCATCTCCCCCCAAGCCATGATCATATCAAAGTGCATGTGTAAAACTCGCAGCACTGCAGGCCTTGATTGCTTTCTTTCTGCAAAGGAATTAATCTTACTGCACATAGCAGTTATTTCCAGACAGAGTTACTCGAGGTTCAGAAATATTTATCAATAGAAAAAATAATAAAAATCTTTAAAAAATTTGCACAAGAAAACAAGCATATCATAAAGCAGCCACACAGTGAAAGCTGCCATAAACTCAGCTGTAGGGACCAGCATACAATCAGATGTAGGATCCCCAGGATTTCCAATTTTTTTTGGAGTACTACTCTGAGAAAGAGAAGGCTCTCTTTTTGGCACAGAAAACTTACCTTGTAAACCGCCACACAGACCGTTTGTGTGCTAAGCTTAAAACCTCACCATAAGAAAATTTTCCACTCAGAAACTTCTCTTTACACAGACACGATACCCAGCTGTTCAGAAAGAGAGTTATATTGTCTTCCTTGGTTACCAGAACCTAGGTATTACTTCTTGTGAGGCTTTCTGCAGCTTCTGCACCATTCCTTCTTTACTCAGGCAGTTTACCAAATTACAAAGACAAATTCAAGCAGAGAAGACAAATGCAGAGTCTAACCCAGGCACAGCTAGGGGCAGATTTTTAGAAGCCTGTATCAAAGCAAGTTTGCCTGTAATTATAATGAGACAACCTCAGAGCCAATTTTCCAAGATGACGATAAACACAAGGGTGAAGGCAGGACGAGTGATGGAACGAGTGCATGAAAGAAGAAACTTCCACGTGCACCAGAAGTAAGACAAAAACTGATAGAACAAGTGAATTTATCTACTCTTCTGAGACTGACAGACATACAAATTCAAACCAGGGAAGAAAAGGGAGGCCAGTAGAGGAGAAAGGAAGGGAGAGAAGGAAGAAGGGAGAGAGAAAAAAAAAAACGCCAGGGAATACAAGCAAACAGGACAGCAAAAATTTTTAATCAGCCTATCAAGTCAAGTGAGCATCAAACGGTAGGAGGACAAGAAACAGTACTCATATTTTAAAAGGGGAAAAATAACTAGCAGAAATATTGGTCTGTTGGCTCGGCCTCATAAACACACAAGTGTTTACAACCAATTTGGAAGAAAGTGTAGCTGAAGACAGAGACAAATGGAAGATAATGACACGTAAGAGAGGTTTGCCGGTTTGCGCCACAGTAACTCGGAGTGAGATTCACTTGCCTAGACACAGGCATATATTACCATAAAGGCTGCCTAAGGTATCCCAGACATTTGCACAGGGCAGGTAGATGTGACTGAGAAGCTCTAGGAGGCCCTCACACTGCAGCTATAGCTAGGCAGAATATGTGACAGCACCAAAACCAGCATTATCTCAGTTTAAACAGATCCCAACCCTGACATCTCTCTTTGACAAGACACTCAGTTCTTAAGGAGGTCATCAGGTTGTTTTGCCTATTTTAGCATGTCTTCCTATAGGTTACCCCATTGATAATTAAACTTGTACTCGTTCCCATTTTCAGGTGAATTGGGATGTGTCTGAAAGGGGAAGGGAAAGCAGACGAGCTGAGAGGTGAAAGCTACTAACCCAGAAGCAAGTTACAAGGGAGCTTGTCAGCTGACTCCATTACATGGTTTTGTCCAAAAGTCTTCAGTATAAATCTACCAAAGTGTGACGCTAAGGAAAAGAAAGCTGGGAAGCAGCAATATACAAGAAGTTTAGGACATCACACGGAAATGCTGAAAAACCTTGAAGACTAGAAGGAACGCAATTCATAATACAAAGTGCATCTACATGAGGATTAATAAACACTACTATAAAGGGGAGCTTATCACTAGGAGAATGACAAAGGAAGAAAAACCTGGATGTATTAAGTCAATCACAGAATGATGTAGCCATCAAAGAGGCAGATTGGAATTTAAAACACATGAAGAAAGTACTTTCAGAAACACAAAACCCCAGTAATTTCAAAGCATGATAAGACCTCATCTGTAGTGCTGTGTGTCACTTAGACATCAAGTTCAAGAAAAATGAATTTAAGTAGAACTAGTGTGGAGACGAACGCACAAGAGTTACTTATAAGGCAAGCCCACCCTATAAAAGGAGGTTTAAGGAACAACTTATTTAGCTAAGCTAAACAAAAGCTGAAAGGAAATAGGATTCCTTCAGGATGTATTTACCGACAGCAAGCACCAGGGAAGAAAAGAAAACACATTAGGGATAAAGGATGATATTAGCAGAGATAATAGAGGAGATTAAAAAAAAAAAAAAAAGAAAGTATTGTGTTCCTTGATTTCATTTAGGCTTGAAAAAGACAGTCATTAGAGCAGCAAAGCTCTGGAACAGTTTTTGAAGCAGAAGAGGGAGTTACAGGACAGAAGAAACCGCACCTGACGGTCAGGAAGCTTCACTCAAAAAAAAAAAATGCCTGAAATGGCATGGCTCAAAAATAAACAGAAACAAACACACGTACATAACTAGGAATGAATCCCAGTTAGTACCGTAGTGTTCAAGATGAGAGCCATCTTTCCTGGGGCTCAAAATAGCCTTTGCTTCACAGTGTCTTTACCTGCAACATAAGTGGAACTAGAAGGCCAAACTCCCCAGTGTGACACTAACATAGGCTGCCAGTTCACAGCAGGGTGACTGGAAAAGAAGTAATGGAGATGAAGCTGCAATAGCCAGGTGGCTGAATAAGGCCTTCTCAGGCATGCTGCACAGCCCACCTGAAAACGGTACCTCTCATGAGCCTACAAAATAGCCCTCTTTTCTCTCTGCTGTTTCCCTCAACAAGATTCATAACACAAAAATCAGCGTGAAGCTTTGATGTTTGTTGGCACCTACAGTGATACAAGATAGTGAATCTCTGAATAGCAACTTATTGTCAACTTATGGAGGCAACGCTGAAGAGTGGGTACTCTTGAGGGTATTTCTCCCCTTTCTATTGAAGCACGAAGCAGGAAAAGGAGGGAGACTTCTGCTGTAGTTTAAAGGTTATAAAACAGACTTGGAAGTTTGCTCTGTCCGAACCTTTCTGTGTGAAGTTCCAGACAAGAGAATCAGTTTTTTGCTGCATGTTTTTTTACTGTCAAGGTCAAAGCCTCTAGAAATAGATTACAGTAATGGAAAGATTGGCAGAATTAGCTAAGAATACTGCTAATGCTTATTAAAGTAAACCAACCAGCAACACACAGTGAAAACAGGCCACTTCATTCTATATATTTAGGCTCCGGACCAAGCCAGTTACAAATCTGGAGTAAAGACTATATATAATAGAGGCTTTTTCAAAAAGTAGTGTGGTGCAGCCACCATCTATAGAGCAACTCAACCACCAGCACCATGGCATGTGCCAAGCTCACAACAAGGAACTTCCCTAATGGTGTTTGCATCACTGCATTGTGGGACTTGCACCACTTTCATACCTTTAAGCTTCTTCAAGGAAAGGACAGTATGTATGTGTATACCTAAGGACTGCACGTGTCAGTGCGTGTCCTCCTTGTGACCAGAACCATCAGTAGTAATATAATAATTACAGTCTGGTTGGCGATCCCATGTTGTTTTTGTGTACGACTGTATGCAAGCGCTCCCAGGTATGAGGCTCATTCCCAGCCCCATGCAGGCTCATCGCCTGGGTGTGCTCCACGACCCAGCATCCAAGAGGACAGAGGACCACCCACAACAAAAGATGCATACCACAGCACTCTACCATCATACACCTGCATTACATTATTACAGATTGCATGCTTACTGCTATTTTGACCTCCCACCTTCAATCCTCTATTTCCTTTTGTGACCACAACTTCTCTGATGCAAGACCTTGAAAACACATATTTGAAATGACATGCAATAAGCCGAGCCCTGGCTGCTGACCAAGGCACCTGTACGCTCTTGCCATAGAGACCACAAGTAAAGCAGCAGGCTGAACCAGATGCTTCAGGCAAGTGCAGAGCTCTGCGGGATGCTACAACACCGATAAACATGCAGCATATGGTCACAAACTACATTCAGAGCCAGTCTCACCAGTAATGAGTTACACACTCACACCAGAAGTTTGAGTTCGGACAAGGTGCAGAGAGAGATTTCTATTTCACATTAAATTCTCCAGTAATACTTGCAAAGATAAAGCAGTTTGAAAAGTGGAGAAAAAAACTTTAGATCCTTGGCATTACTGGAGCAATATGTCAGAGAGAAAAATTAGTGAGAGGAAAACTCCTGAGGTGGCTAGAGAAAAGCATGCATTTAAGGAGGGAGTGAAAGTAACCACCAGAGTGCCACTCTAAGGTTACTATATACTGAAATCCAAATAAATTATTCAGGTTATACCTTAACTGAAAGAGTAAGAACAATTTAGAAAAATTTTTCCAGCAGCTGTGCACAAAATTATGGAAATGGTTTTGGGACGGTTCAGATCAGCCTAATTTACATAAGCAAAACTGTCAATATCCAATACATTTTAAAATGTGCTTTATATTGGTTTAAGCTGCTGTGAAACCACATTCGATTGTTGGCCACAGTATAATAGCTCAATCAGCGTGCTGAAATGGCTCAACCCAAGGTCAAACAAGCACCAAACACTGCACAAGTGAGGGTGCGGGATCACAAAGCCCCAGGTGGGGGAGAGTAAGAGAATAACCCTAGAGCACCCAGCAGTTAAACTGGCTTAGGCTGCCACAGAGCGAGAAATCACCTGCTTCTACTGCCCGAGCCTACTACTGCCCTGCTTCTACTATCCCAGCCTAACCATGGCAGCACAGATGCTAACTTACCTTGTTGCTATGACAATCAAAATACTTAAGCTAGATTTAAACTACATAAAAGTTAACTTAAGGACTGAACGTAGATGTTGCTGGTGGTATAATGTGACTTCAGAGAAAGCCAGGACCACGGCATCATGCTTCAGTTCTGCTGTGCAGACAAGACCACTGCAGGTTTTAGCCTTGAGACACTGCTGCTTTATGATCCAGTTACGAGCACTGTACTGTGCACACCAACGAAGCCTCACTAACCCCTACTACACTTCGACACTGCTACTCATATAATGGCCAAGGCTACCCAGCACACGGGAACCTCGCAAGTCACCTCATCACCTCACACACATCTCATTTGTAGCCCTACCACATTTCAACAACATTTTAGACAGTGCACTGCGAGACACAGATGTGTTTTTGTGCTGTTACCAGCTCTTATTTGTAGCGGTTCTCCCTCCATTGCTAGCTTTACACATTACACAAAACACTACTTTAAGTCCTGTCAGTCCCCTCTCCCTACAATTCCCCTCACGTTGGCATCTCTTCAGCTGGCACTGAGTAACACTAACACCAACTCTACAGCCCTCCCAACTCCCCTCTCTCTAGCCGGAACTGCTGGAGCAGGGAGCACTGGCAGAAAAAAAGAGAACAAGCGCACAAGCACCTTTACATGCTGGCAGTCTCTAGATACTGGGCACCTGTAGTCAGGGTGTGACTGGTAAGATGTGTATCAGGCAGATAAGCATGCATAGTTTTCAAAGGAATCATAGCAGAGCTGCTTAATATCCAGGTTTGTCTGTCTGTTTTGGATAACAAAGCAAAACTAGAAAAAAGGACCAGGCTAATTTGGTTCAGGTGCCTAAAGCTGAGCGCCAGTTCAGATGTAACAAGGAGTTAAAGTAACGAGGATGAAAACGCAGAAGCTATCATTGCTAATAAGCATACACACATTTTTCCTTCTAATGTATCTGTATATCATTCTAAGAGCCACATTCTGCCTCCTTTTAATATTACATGCATTAAGTATAGAGAAAAACTCATCTCAGGATGTGGTGGGGGTGTTTGTGTGGAAGAATTGAGACAACTCTCTCCTCACCGAATACAGGCCTCAGTAGAGCTGGGACTTCACCCCTAAGACTTTGCACCTGTTCTGCTGATCCTTATCTGGTCCAGATCGATGCAGCAAACCTTGTAATCAGCAAACCAGAAGGCAAGAGGCAGACAAAGACACTTTACTGCCCAGAGGAGAAAAGCCCCTTTCCTTCTTCATGAATTCCCTTCCCTGTGCTTCAACAATAGGATGGGGAACCATAAGACTGAAGGCAGGTGGGGGGGGGTCGAAAGAAGGCTGCTGTAGAAGTTCATTAAAGGCATATATAAAAACTTGACATAACTCTGTTTATTGTTCGTTTGACAGAAGCCCTGTGGCCCAGTCCGTTCATGACTTGCAAAAGAAGTGAGTAAACGCAGAGTTTACGCAGGTTCATTAGAGAGGCAGTCTCTCTTACCAGCCTTGATAAGCTTAGGTCAAGCGTGCAGAAGTATTACAAAATAAAACTCCCCCTGACACTAATGAGTAAAGAAGTTACACTTCCTACTTAAAAGTAACCTGAAACAAAACAAAACTGAAGTTTACCTTCTCTTGTGCTGACTTCACAACACTAACGACTTGTTTGACTGCTAGCTCAAGTGGTTCCCCTGGGTCATTGTCCTCAAATGTAAGCAACTGTGAATCCTAAGAAAGAAGAAGAAAAAAAAAGAAGCATTACTTCACTAGGTGATGTAACTATCACTTGAAAACAAGTGATAAAAATTCATTTTCAGTAAAGTTCCTGGAACAACCAGAGACAGAATTGCAAGCATATGTCAAAACTTGTTTATATTAATTGCACTACATCTCACTACATAACACAAGGCAGAGCCTAAAAACCTATACTTAGGACATGAATATAGGCCTCACCATTACTCATCTTTCACTGTAGCAGAGGATCAGGGTACACTGCAGAACGAAGCCTACAAGGAGCGACCGAGTTCAGCGAAATTGCCTTTCTGAAGTAAGGATTGGTAATATGGTAGAGAACCATATTTTTTAAAGGCATTTTTAGTTTGGCCTAATAATTGAACTAATACTTAAACAAAGTCACGCGGCTCCAGTAGCCTATGCCAAAACTGAAGAGAACCCAAATACCTGTTGGCAGAGGTGAGAGAAGAAACCCTTCCCCCTTCCCCTCAAATCCAAACTGTTTTTGCAGGGAGGTCACGCTTTCAGGAACACCAGCAATTGCATTTCGCACGTGCTACACACACTCAGTGGCCAGTGCTGCTTTCCCAGTCACCCTAGGTTGTTTTGCTTTGGCCCAGCAGCACACGCACACAGGAATTTCATTAGCTGTGCGATGCTGACATTGTTCTGGGAGCCTGACAGTGGGAGTAACACCAGGCTGCCGTGCCAGGCAGTGAACTCATCCAAAGACAAGGCTCCAGCTGCTTTTTTTGGGAGAGGGTGTGTTTGGGGTGGGGGGGGATGTCTAAGTTGCTCTGGTCTCCCGTTGGGGACAGCCTTCTGCTGTTTGTTTCTAGCTGGTTTCACTTTCTAGCATCTGTTCCCAAATTGTCTTAACTTGCTTTTTTTTTTTTTTTTTCCCTCCCCACAAGCAGAAAGCAAACCTCGGTTTCTTAGCACAACGCAGTTTTCTGAACTGCCCGGTGAAATTGAAAAGGCTAAGCAAGGTAATTTTCACTTTTCCTTTTCGCTGCCCTAGTTTCCAGTGCTGCCTGTAAAGTGTTAAACTGCTTTTCTTATCTTGCACACACACATGTTCCCCCAGCTCTTTCTTCTCCTCCGACCTTTCCCCTCCAAATGTAGCAAGAAAGCCCTCTGGCACAGCTGACAAAGGGATTAGTGCTCTCCCGGACCTATACAAGAGGCTGTGCACAAATTTGGTGACTTTAGGTGCACAGCGCTTCCTAGATAGTTTAACCCTGGCTTTTTCCACTGACACAGCAAGTATTCAAATCCTCAGGACCAGGGAATTAGGTTGTCCTGGCCTCACCTAACCTTGCTGCCTCTTAGAGCTGCCTATAGCCTTATAAACCACGGAGCAATATGGCATGTTATGTCCTTTACAAATAGAGAGGAGGAAGGAAAGGGGCCGGCCAAGTTTCCTGCGCTCCTAACCGATCCAGCTGAAAAGCAAACGAACAAAAAAGGAAAACCGCACCATCCCGCAGCCACCTACAGCGGCCTAGCCCTTAAAGAACATATTTATAAAGAGCCAGAGGAGTATATGGGTGAACACGGGAGTTATTTGCCGAATCGCTCGTCCGAGGCCCGGTCTCAGCGGCGAGGGGAGCGGCAAGTTTCCGCTGCCGACCTCCCCCCAGCTCCTGACCAACGTTATCGCCGGCGAGGGGCCGCACAGGTCGCAGCCTTCCCCGCGCGCACGCGTGCCGCACTTCGGGCCACCTTTTTCCTATAAATCCCTGCCAAACAGCAGCTAAATATATACATATATGTACACGTATATATTCACACACAGATAAATGTGTATGTATAAATATACACACTTATATATAGACACGCACATAGATATAGATGTATTAATATATGCATAAATTATATGTATGTTTGTAAATAGGGGTATGGGGCGGTGAGAGGAGGGGCGCGAAGGCTGCACCCAAGGCATCCTCAGCTCGTCCCGCCGTGGCCCA